CCAGAATAATTTCGCGCAAAGACTTGTTTTCCACTTTTGAATTTCGTTGGTTTCGGGTTACATATTTTCTCATTGACTACGGGGAACAAAGTGGACAGTACGGTTCGTGGCTGTCGTCCATGCAACAGCTCAGCCGGTGATTTACCCGTCAAGGGATTCGGGGTCGTTCGATATGTCGTGAGATATTTATAGAGCGCTCGCTCCACTTGTTGTTCCTCTTTCATTATTTTGCTGAACGCTTCTTTGAATGTTCGCACATTTCTCTCTGCAAGGCCGTTGGATGCTGGATGGAACGGAGGAGTGGTGAGGTGCTGGATATTATTCAGCTTGCAGAAACTTTCAAATTCGTGTGCCGTGAATTGGGGTCCATTGTCCGAGACGATAGTGCAAGCCAGTCCCTCAATTGAGAAAATACGTTGTAGTGCTGCGATTGTTGATATTGATGATGTGGATGCAACTTCCAAGATGTACGGGAATTTTGAATAAGCATCCACCAGAAGCAGCCACATTCGATTAAAAAATGGTCCCGCAAAATCCACATGGACTCTTTCCCACGGTGTCATAGGTTCGGGCCAGGTCGAAAATTCCCGTTTGGGTTGCCTCCCATTTGTCTGGCAAATAGCGCAATTGTCGTGAATACGTTCTATGTCCTTGTCGATGCCAGGGAACCATACGTAACGCCTTGCCATTTGCTTCATTCGACTTTTTCCCCAATGACCCTCATGCAGCATTGCCAGTACCTTATTCCGTAAGGCGCTTGGGATTACTACTCTTGTATGCTCAGTGTGAAGGAGTAGTACATCACTCTGTAAGGATAACGAAAACTTCCGATTAATATATGGTAGGAGTTTACCTTCAGATTTCGAAATGTTGACGGGCCAACCGTCTCTAACATAATTGCAAATGCGTTTAAGTGTTTCATCTTTCTTCGTATCTCCTTGACGATTTCAGCATTCAGCGGAAACCCTTCTACTGTGATCTGATAAGCGGTATCGATATTTTCCCAGCTACTTTCCTCCTCATCGAATTCCGGATCGTTTCCCGCTGGCAATCTGGAAAGCGCATCCGCGTTGGCATTTTCGTTAGACTTTCTGTAACGTATTGTATATTCGTAGGCCTGTAGTAAAATCGCCCAACGTTGAAGGCGATGTAGCGTCATCACTGGCAGTCTTTTACATGGATGAAATAATGTCGTTAACGCTTGATGGTCCGTGAGGAGTTCAAACTTTCTTCCGTAAAGATATTGATGAAATTTAGTTACCCCATATATAATGGCTAATGCTTCCTTCTCTACTTGGGAGTATCACAATTGACTGGTGTTGAGGGTTTTAGACGTATGTGCAATTGGTTTTTCCGAACCATCGGAATAGCGATGTGATATCACAGCACCAATGCCATGCTTTGAGGCATCTACAGCCAGTATTATAGGTTGACGGTCATCGTAATGTACCAGCTGCGTAGCTTTAATGATTGCCAGTTTCAGAGATTGAAAAGCGGTTTCTTGACTCGAAGACCATTTAAAGTGGTTGTGTTTCCTTCTCAAGATGTTTAAAGTGGCGGCAATACTTGCGAAGTTTCCCACAAACTTGTTATAATAATTTATCTTTCCAATGAATGCTTCTAGTTCCTGAATATTTTGCGGTCGGGGCATAAGTTTGATCGCTTCAATTTTATTTTCGGACGGTAGTATCCCATTAGCATCGATGATATGTCCCACATACTCAACTCGATCTTTTGCAAAACTGCACTTTGCTAACTTGCACTTTAGCCCGTGGTTCAATAATCGTTGAAAAACGGTTCTAACGTTGTCCAGATGCTCCTCGTTGGTTCGACCCGACACAATAATGTCGTCCAGATACACGGCACTATGTGGGATCCCGGCTATCACATTCTCCATGAGGCGCTGAAACAGCCCCGGTGCACTAGCTATACCAAAAGGCATACGTTGGTATTGGTATAGTCCAAATGGGGTGTTGATTACCAAAAACTTTTTGGCTTCTTCTGATACCTCCACTTGGAGATAAGCTTCACTTAAGTCAATTTTTGTAAAGAATTTACCGTTTTGCAGTTTGTGGAAGAGTTCTTCTATCCTGGGTATTGGATATCTATCTATTTCAATTTGAGGATTTACCGTTACCTTGAAGTCAGCACAAATACGCACACCTCCCTTCGGTTTCTTGACCACGACTATCGGCGCGGCCCACTCACTTGCTTTAATTGCTGTTAAGACCTTTGCCTTAACCAGCCGCTCTATTTCATCGCGGACTTCATCGTATTGTGCAAACGGTAGGTTGTATGGTTTATAGAATTTCGGCCGAGCATCTGGCTTGAGCTTAATTTCAGCTTTGAACGTCGTGCAAAGACCCAAATCCGCTGAAAAAATCCTTTGATATTCGCGAGCGAGTTGCTGCAGCTCAACGATCAAACTTGTTTCTGATGCCCGACCTGTAATGTAGGAATTATTAGCATAACACTCTTCGGTGGGTATAACTAAACTAAAATTTAACGCTTGAAACCAATCGAGTCCCATAATATTTGTGGCTTTATCACTCTCTACTAAAAGTACTGGAAGCCTCTTGGTAGTTCCTCCGTGAGTAACATCAACCTGAATAACGCCTCTCAGTTGTATTATGCTTCCTCCGTACGCCTTCAAAACTTTCTGAGTAGGCGAGTACGGTGGTCTTCCCAACTGAACATATGTGGATAACCCGATTAGAGAACACGAAGCGCCTGTATCCACCTGAAACTTTAGGCTTTGCTTGTTTACGTTGAGTTTGACAAATACTTTTGTAGGCTTGTCCTCACTATCTACTGAATTTATGGTTTCGAGCAATCCAATTGATTCGAACGATGCTTCGTTCACATCAAGGGTATTCGCAGTTTCTTTTTGCGACATTTTGCTACCATAGCGCCTCGCAGAGGCTTTGTGTGTGCCTTCTGATTGACATACAGAAGCGATGTGCCCCCTCTTGGCACATTGACGACATTTCGATTTGTTTTTGAAATGATAACACTGCTCTCTTGTATGAGCTGTACCACACCCTGGACACGACTTACTTACTGCTGCTAAAATCCTGGACTTACGCTCGTGACTACCACGTTCCTTACTATACTTCCGCTGTTTGGTTGTGTGCTGAACCCTATAAACTGTGTCGGTTGCCTTGAGGTTTTCTCCCCGAATCTCGCTGCAAGTCTTTACCGTCGACTCGTATATAGTTGCGATTTGTAGCACTTCATCTAAGGTCGGATTTGTTTTTTGAAGCGCTGTGCTACGGACCTTATCATGTGGGGTGTGCATCACTATCATATCCCGTATGCTGTTATCGATGAATGATTCGTTGCAATTTTCTTTCGAGCACTGAAAAATACACTTCTTAGCTGCTCCCCGGAGTTCTGCCACCCAGTCCGCATAACACTGGTTTGGTTTCATTCTGATGGAAAAAAATTTGAAACGCGCGGCGAGCACGTGCTGTTTCTCGACAAAATGTGTAGATAGTTTTGCCAATAGCTCACTGTAAGACTTCCCTTCTATTACGTTATCGCATAATTTCTGCAGAAGCTCAAAGGTCTCCGTGCTTATGCACGACAGAAAACTTGCCCGTTTAAGAGTTTCGTTTACAACTCCATTCGCCACGAAGTGCTGCTCCATTTGCTGGATGTAGGTAGGCCATTTTTCGATACTTTTATTAAACTGCCTGAACACAGGCGTATTGCTCGTATGTGTGTCACATTCAAGTACACGTTGAAGCGATTGTACATTTTGCTCAAGCACTTTCGCCAGTAATGCTTGGTTTGCCTCTTGAAATTGACTCAGAACTCACGCAAGGGTTTTTTCGTCCATGTTCTCGTCGCCAAATGTTAATTTACGGAACAGACTATTCAATAAATGCAATTCAAGTTACAGCAGATTCCTTAAGATTAATTTGTCTAATTGAACGACTTGTAAAACCGCGTGGTAGCTATTAGCAGCAAAAGCAATGGAATGACTTGAAAGTCAAAAAGGTTACCCAAGTGCTGCCACGTTGATTTACAATGGAAGTTCCTGAATAGGGTTGCCAGAAGGTTTATGGTGGCAAGAAAGTGGCTGACTTACGTGTAATGATTTTGTATTACCGGCTTATGGTGACTCAATTGCTGTTAAATGAATAGTCCGGATTTGATGCTCACAACTTCTTTATCCATTTCCTCCATTTTGAAGTTTAGCTTTGACAGTTTTGTTATGTTTACATTTCTTACAATCGTTCTTATGTCTATTATTTGGGCAATAAAAAATAATAGATCATTATCCCCCTCTCATCTTCAGCGACACGTTAACAAAAAAAAATGTGGAGCGTTTAGTAGGGATATGAGAATGGTGGTTCGAATGCGATTCACGGGCTGTGGTTTGATCGACGTTAGACCTTACATCGAAATCGTTCTACATGATCTTCATCAACCCCATCCTGACTCGTTCAGTTCGCCTTTAAGCGCATATGTATGTACCAATGTTCCGTATTTCGTATTTAGTTTCAGTACGCATTACATAGCTACGGTAGATGAAAGTCATTGGTCAATGATTTGGTTATGAATCTTTTCTTGATTGCTTTGATCGATTTACTAGCAATGTACTGAGGATATAATATAACAAAACTATGGATATAACAAAACTAAACTTAATTAATTTATTCCAGCCGGGTACCCTGTAATAAGGCAGAATCAATGGAGTATGGAGGCCCGCCATATATTCATCGAAATTCTTGAGAAGGCGAATGTACTGAATGAGTTAACGTGTTGTGATTAAATCGGCGGAATAATTGCCAAGCACTCGGTGTTTAGCATCGATCAGTTCATATGAATTCAAACTAAGTTTCCGTGAAACATAGGCTCTAATTTTTGGTGGGGCTAGTTTTTGTACATATCCCTCTCCGGCCACGGACTGTTTAGGATTGGGAATGTACAAATGCCCGTTGTGCGGTTTGTTGATATTGTTCGAACTGTTTGTCTCGAATTTCATCAGCCAGAACTTTACGCTGTTCCACATCCTGTGTATGGTATGGATTTACATCCAATAATAATTTATATTCGTTTCCATCTTTCACATATTTACGACCAGTGTGCAGGAAATATGGCGTGTAGCCCGTGGCTGAATGCACTGAAGTGTTAATATCATGAATAACACGAGAAAGATGGTTTTCCCAGGGGGAATGTTCAAGAAGGTCAGCCATGTGAGCACGTAATCCAAGTTTAATGCTTTTATTTGTCGCCTCGACTTGATTGGCTTGTGGATGGTACAAATCATGTGTTCGATGTTATAATCGGCGCAAAGTTTTGCGAAAGTTTGACTGATGAATTGAGTACCATTATCTGATATAATGAGTTCGGGGCAGCCATTCACCGTAAATATATGTCGAAGATAATTGACTACGGATATGGCGTTTGCATTTTTCATGGGCTGCGCCCAGACATATCGCGAGTAACAGTCGATGGCTACGAAGATCCATTGGTTACGATTTTTAGACAGGGGCAGCTTACCGACGAAGTCAATCGATAATTGCCTACCCGGTCGTTTTGGTTCTCTATATTCGCCGTTAGGTGTTTTGGTGCTCTCATTACTTGGTTTAATGCAGTGGCATAGTTCACATTGCCGAACGTACTGGTAAACGGACTCATACATGTTTGGCCAGTAATAGCGTTGTGAGATACGTCTATAAGTTTTCTAAACACCCTGATGTGAATGTTGGTTATGATTTTCATCGAGGACTTTTGCTCTGTCAAAGATGGTACACAAAGAGTCCACAGTATTTCCGCACTTTGATTGGAAAATTTCAATCGATGATATAGAAGGTTGTTCTCGATTTTATATCTATCTAATGGTTGTTTTGAGGCCATGGCATGCATTTTGTTGTACCATTTATCGCTCGTGTTTGGGTCAATGTTGATCACGGATGTGATTGGGATACGATTAACGTGAAAATTACTCGGAAGGTCAATTAGATTTCTACGAACGATGTTGAGAAGAGCAAAAGAACGAGATAAGGCGTCGGGAAGTTCTAAATGTTTTCCTGGATTATGAATAATTTTGAGATCGTAGAGTGATAATCGGATCACCCAACGGCATAAACGGCCAGTTGGTTCTTTGAGAGTTTGTAGCCAGCGCAAAGCGTCATGGTCCGTTACCACAATCAATTCACGACCTTCAAAATATGGACGGAACTTTTCGACCGCTAAGAGAACGGCTAGGCATTCCCGTTCAGATGCTGTGTAATTTTGTTCGGCTTTCGAGAATTTCTTAGAAAAATACTGAACCACGCGTTCATTCCCATCATTATCTTGTACTAGAACAGCACCCGCTGCGATAAGCGAGGCATCGGTATAAACCTTGAATGGTTTTGAATAATCGGCCATAGTCATAACGGGAGTGGTAGTTAAACACTCTTTGAGTTTGAGAAAGGCTTGTTCAGCAGCGGTATTCCATTCAATCGGTCCTTTTCGGTTTCATTTATACAATTCCCAAAGGGGAGCTGTGATCTCCGAAAAATTTGGAATAAATTTACGGTACCAGCCTGCTGCACCAACGAACCGTCTGACTTCTTTTGCCGTTTTGGGCCGTGCAAATTCAACAATCGCTCGAATACGAGATGGATTCGCAGATAAACCCTCTTGAGACAAAACGTAGCCCAGGAGTTCCAATCGTTTACAACAAATATTCGATTTGGATGTTGAGATGGTTAAGCCGGCCCCCGCCAGACGTTTTGCAACAATAGCCAATATCTTAACGTGTTCTTCAAACGTCGAAGTGCAAATTATGAAATCACGGAAAATTTTATCAATGAGAATGGCTAATGTGGCGGGTGAATTTCTCAACCCCATCGTCATGCGACGAAAAGCATAAAGTCTATTACCGAATGCAAAAGCGGTTTTCAGTTGACTCGATTTTGCCAAAGGAATTTGAAAGAAAGCTTGAGACAGATCAATACTGGTTAGGTATTTAGCTGACTTTAGTCGTGCTAAAATTTGGTTAGTATCCGTAATTGGATAGGCATTTGGAATGGTAATTTTATTCAGCTCTCTCGCGTCCAAGAACACGCGACACGTTCCGTCTTTCTTCTTTACAGCCAGAATTGGTGACCGCCAAGGGCTTTCTTCGATGGTCATAATGATGTCACGACTACGCATTTTATCCAATTCGGCTTGAACTTGTTCAGCCACGTATGGCGATACTGGGTACTGGCGTTTCATGACGGGTTTTGCATCACCCGTATCAATTACGTGTTCGATCTGATTAGTGACGTTTAAAGGACCAGACTCAGGAGTTGGATTAAAAAGTCTGAGAATGGCGTCCAACATTTGTCTTTGATCTGGGGTGAGATTATGTGGAAGGCTGACGCTCGTTATTTTTGGGGTATCTAGTTCACCCTCTAAACCGAGTGTGGAAGCGGCAGTTGGCTCCAGATCATTACTCATAGAAGATACCTGAGCTTGTTCTTTCCCACTCCCTGGTGGCTGATTACAAAAATTAATAAATTTATCCGCCGTAACCATTTCGACTTTAGCGGATGCAACTTCTTCAGTATCACCTTTGGCTGTATGTTTTAAAAATCGTTGAACTTTCTCTTGGTTCTGCACCAGTTCGAAAAAGAAGGCCTCAAGGAATGTCCGTCCCATAATTGGGTGTTTCAGTGAGATAGGCACTACAAGAGTTGGCACAAGTCGGGTAAGACTACCAACCGTATATAATACATTCACTTTACCAATGGCCTTAAATGAAATCGAATTATCGGCAAGACCAATGGAGGTTTTGGTAGGTTGCAACTGCCCCATCTGTACTTCTCATAAAACGTTTGTGAAATGACTGTGACTTCAGCTCCACCTTCGAGTAAAACCGTATGAGAACCGTGAGATAATCGCGACGATCGT